CATTGAACTAGATGTTAATTCTGTCATATTTTAAAATGATAGAATAAATTACTTTTTTTTACAGAATTTATTACTACTCATTTCAGTGTTTAGTAGAGAAATTGCCTTAAAAATTGCTGTTAATTGAAATACTATTTAGTTCACATTTCTTAAGTTGAATCAGTAGTTTCATTTCAACTGATAATAGTAAAGCTATTTCAGTGTAGTAAATTTTTCTTCTTTCCACAAGGGGAAATGTAAAACATTTAAGACTTGAAATTGAAAACTGTTTTAATATTTAAAATAACTTGTTTATTCAATGTCTAAACACATGTCAGTTTTCCATGGGATCTTTATTTTCACAGGTAAATACACTAAAGTGCTAGATAGCTTTCCCCCTCCCAGTTTGACTTTAAATCCTTCATTCTGACGTGATTACTGTTAGTGAGGTTGATGACTATAATGAGAATATCTTATTCTTCCGATTCCTTTGATGACCAAAGAGGTAAAGTGGAAGTCATCCTTATAATTATTAAAATGGAGTCCTCCAAACAAATTTTGGAAGATTCCTTTTTCTTACTTCAATTTATTGCCCATAATTTCCAAGAAAACGTGGGTATAGAAACACATGAGAAAATGTGATAGTGAAGGCATATTTACAAAAATGAGAACGTGTCCAAAATGGATTCTTGTCTCTTCAGAATTAGCCATTTAAAATATTTTCTGTGAATGCAAATTGTAATTCTTACTTGCAGTTTTACCAGTCTTCGTGTACAGTGACAAAACTGTGTAGAATCTACATCATCGCCTTAGTAAGAAAGGATAAAAAGGTGTGGAAATGAATATAAAATGCATCTAAATATGACATTGAATTTGTTTATAAAAATAAGACTTAATAAATATAGAGTAATTCATTTTGAATAGTAGGCTGTTGTTTTTATATTGTGTAATAACTCACGTACTCTGAAGAGAGCTTGGTCAAACAATAAAATACATTGTTACTAACTTGGTTTCTGTGTACTTTGCAAAAATTCTATTTTTAATTCTGTTCATATATTGAATGTGCTCCTAATTGGCATCTTAAAGAGAATATTAAGCATCTATTAACCAAAAGGACCTCTACTCTTACAATAAATGAGAGGGAAGTAATGGTGGTATGTACCCACAAAAACCCTAAGTGCCAAGTTAATGGATCCTCTGCCTTCCCTTTCAAATGCTAGAAAGCCATTGTAATGAGTTCTTGCAGTTTAGCATCCAGTCTAAGCTACTGCATTGTTTAAAGAGCAGCCTCAAAGACAGTTTCTCCAAACTGTGATTCTCTTTGTCAAGTCTTGTACTTTAAAATTCTACAGTTCTGTTTCACTGTTGCTTCAATCACTTACTGCTCAGAGCCATTTTACTGCAGCAGTTTCCTAGTGTGTGACTTGGCTTTAGTATCTATCAGTTGCCAGAAAGAAACAGGTTGTCATTTGGAAGCTTTCATGGTTTCCTTTCCCCTCATTTTATTCTTTAGATAAAAACAGTACCCCAAAATGGAAGACGAACATTTTTATGAAGCAAAGAGAAAACTCCCTTGTTAAGACCAGCTTATTAACTCTGTATTCTCAGTCAAATGCATTTTTTTCTAACAACTAAACATGGATGTTTTGAAGGTGCATTCTAATTTAAACATGGAACAGATTTTTTTCATAATTACAAACTAGAATGTAAAATTATAATTTTGCTTCAACTTAAAAGAGCACAGTTGATATCCCAAAGGTGTTGATGTTGAGAAGCTAGTTATTCTAAATGCACTAAAATTTTTGAGGTAAATCTACCTTAGAAGCTTTTTTGGTATTGTATTTTTAAAAATATTTAGATTTTATTTAAATTTCTTGTGAGTTAAATTCTGTATTTGGAAAGATGTTCGTGTCTTCCCCTCTGTATTGAATATCTTTCTCATTTTTAAGCAAATATTTTATAGAAATGAGTTGTTGGGAAGAGTTTAACATGCACTATTTATAGTACTTTGCTGTTAACAGGCAATGTTCTGAAACTAAATTTATTTTTGTTCAGTGAACATAAGTTTAGATTTTTAAAGCTGGTAGATAATTTATCTCCACTAATATTTTTTTAAGAAACTGTGAAGAGATTAACAGGAAATAATTTTATTTCAGATTTTACTAATGTAGTATGTAGCTACAACTTCTTGAAATTCAAGTGAAGGCTAGACTTTTACTTTGAAAAAATTCTACTTGGTGTTTCCAGGGCTATTTCATTTTAGAAATAACTGTTTGCCATTCATCTGCAAAAACTGGACAAGGGGAATATTACAAAAAACATTCAGAAATAAACCTCATTTTAAGTTCTGCAAAATATTTATCGAATGTTATTAACTTTCATTCTGCTAAAGACATTTTCATTAGTCTCACAGGGTATATGCTTTCTAGAACTTGTTTTTGTTAACGTGCTTTGATGTAAAGAACATTCTGTATGCAAAACATAACCTGCATTATGGTTGTAAAATACACTATATTGTTGAGGGATTCCGGGAAGCAGTTTAATGCTGAAATAACCGTATCTAGTATGCAGTTCATATTGTCAATGAAGCTTTGCTTTTGTAATAAATAAAAAAGACTTTCTAATGACCTTGATTTTTCTTCTTTTGGAAAACAGGATCAAATTAGTGCTTTAGTAATTGTCTCTAGTAAAATGTTAAAGAAATAGATTTTATTGTTATAGTGCTTTGAATTTCTAAAATGTCTTAACCTGAGAAGATCTATCATGAGTTAAAAACCAGAAGAGCTCCATACATCCGTAACTTGTCTCCCTCCTAGTTTCCTCTTTTTATTCAAGATCTATTTGACTTGACTCCTGTCCCCCAATCCCTACCCTAAGTGTTCTGGCACATGAGGAAGGCCGCCTCTGTGCTTAATTATCCACATCTCATCTGACAAGTGACTGACTCACTTCAGCATTATTAGCCTAGAAAACCAATTGTAATACAATGCTGTTGTTTTAACAAATTTACAGAAGGTTACAAAAAACGAGACATTGGATTGGCAATTCAGAAATTTTAATGCTGCTTTGAAAAATACTTCTGTACAATATTATCTTTCTCATAATGAAAAAAAGAAATGACATCTGATACGTCAGTGGTTTGTTGAAAGCACAAATTTTTTTTGTTTCCTTGTTTCAGGTCTTCCAAAAACTCTGCTTTGAGCTTGTTAAGTTCTTCTGCCAGAAGCTTCAAGTTGTAAGGAAGCACTCGTTCATCTAAAAAAGATATTCTCAAATTACTGGTGTAAATTAAAGTAATCCGGGGTGTCTAATGACACTAGGAAATTAATTGGATTACTTTAGACAAACCAGGCAGATTCTATAAACAATCACAATTGAGTTGGTGTAATATATAGACAACAGGTCATAATGTGATAGTCAAAAATCATCTGAAACAAGTCAGATTTAGATAACTTGTTAGGAAACGTGAGCAGAAAAGATTAACCTGAAAGGGACTTTTTGTTGTTGCCAAGAAAAATCAAGACAGCTGACTTACTGCCTTACTGTCTTATTGAATTAAGCAGACAGGCAAAAAAGCAGAAACAGAATATGACAGTGTGGTTTTGAACCTGGTAAATAATGCCTAGAAACACTAGTTGTCCAACGTAACTTTCTGCAATGATGGACCTCATCTATATCCGCTGCAGTCAGTACAGCAGCCACTAGCCACACATGGGTAGTATTACTGAGAGGCTGAATTTTATTTTTTTGTTAGCTTTATTAGGATGTAATTCATAAACAATTTACACATTTAATCTCGATAATACAGTGTTTTTATATATTTACAGATAAGTGCAACCATCACCAGTTAATTTTAGAACATTTTCATCATCTCAAAAACCCATATCCTGATGGCTCACGCCTGTAATCCCAGTACCATGGGAGGCTGAGGCAGGCGGATAACCTGATGTTAGGCGTTTGAGACCAGACTGGCCAACATGGCAAAACCCCTCCATTACTAAAAATACAAAAATTAGCAGGGCATGGTGGCACACGCCTGTAATCCCAGCTACTCAGTAGGCTGAGGCAGGAGAATCGCTTAAACGTGGGAGGCGAAGGTTGCAGTGAGCTGAGATTGTGCCATTGCAATCCAGGCTGAGCAACAGAACAAGACTCCATCTCCAAAACAAAAACCCATATCTTTTAGCTATCATCCTCCTAACCCCCGTCCCTTCTGCCCACCCCCAATCTCTAAGCTACCAAACATCCACTGTCTGTCTCAAGATTTCCCTGTTCAGGACATTTCATGTGACTGGAAGTATATGTAGACTCGGTCTTTTGGTACTGACTGCTCATACTTTGCATCATGTTTTCAAGGTTATTCCATCCTGTATAGCATGTATCAGCATTTCATTCCTTTTTATGGCTGAATAATATTTCCTTGTATGGATACACCAAATTTTGTTTATCCATTTGTCAGCTGACAGACATTTGGGTTATTTTTATATTTTGGCTATCATGAATAATGCTGCCATAAACATCTGTGTACAAGTTTTTTTTTGTGAACATGTTTTCATCTCTCTCAGGTATACACCTGGGAATGAAATTGTTGGGTCACATGCTAACTGTATGTTTGAGGGACTGCTAGCTGTTTTCGAAAGCAGCTGTACCATCTGACACTTCTCCACATTCTCAACAACACTTGAACATTTTAATTCTAGACCTCCTAGTGGGTGTGAAGTGCTGTCTTATGGTTTTGATTTGTATTTCCCTGCTGACTAATGATGAGCATGGGTTCCTGTGGTTACTGGCTGGTTGTATATCTTCCTTGGAAAAATGTCTACTCAGATCCTTTGCCTTTTTAAAAAATTGGGTTGTATTTATTATTGAGTGGTAAGAGTTCTTTATATATTTTGGATACAAGTCCCTTATGAGATCTATGTCTGCAGATAACTTCTCTGATCTATGGGTTGTCTTTTTACTTTCTTGATGGTAGGGGAACTGAATTTTTAATTAAGCACAGATCTAGAAACTACTACTACCTCCTCTTACCTAAAAAATATATATGTGTTTTTTTTTTTTTTTTTTTTTGAGACGGAGTCTTGCTCTGTCTCCAGGCTGGAGTGCAGTGGCATGATATCGGCTTACCGCAACCTCCACCTCTGGGTTCAAGTGATTCTCCTGCCTCAGCCTCCTGAGTAGCTGGGACTACAGGCACACACCACCACACCCAACTAATTTCTGTATTTTTAGTAGAGACAGGGTTTCACCATGTTGGCCAGGATGGTCTCGATCTGATCTCTTGACCTCATGATTCACACACCTCAGCCTCCCAAAGTGCTGGGATTACAGGTAGGAGCCACCATGCCTGGCCTATCTGTATGTTTTTAAACGGGTGGGATATAAGAGTGAATTGGGCATAACCCTATTCCTGACAACCCCCCAGGACCTCATTTCATTTTATAGGCAGAAAAGAAGAAAGGCAAATGGTTGAATGAGAACTCCTGGAACTAACTAACTAACTAACTAACTTTATTTATTTATTGAAACAGTCTCGCTCTGTCACCCAGGCTGGAGTACAGTGGTGTGATTTCACCTCACTGCAGCCGCCATATCCCAGATTATCTATCTGTCTATCTATCAATCATTTATTGAGATGGAGTCTTGCTCTGTTGCCCAGGCTGGAGTGCAGTGGCGTGATCTTGGGTCACTGCAGCTGCCACATCCCAGGTTTATCAATCAATCAATCAATCAATCATTTATTGAGATGGAGTCTCGCCCTGTTGCCCAGGCTGGAGTGCAGTGGTGTGATTTCAGCTCCCTGTAGCCTCTGTGTCCCAGGTTCAAGCGATTCGTTACTGCCTCAGCCTTCTGAGTAGCTGGGATTACATGAGCGCGCCTCACCATGTACAGCTGAGTTTTGTATTTTTAGTAGAGACAGGGTTCCACCATGTTGGTCAGGCTGGTCTCAAACTCCTGACCTCATGATCCTCCCGCCTCAGCCTCCCAAAGTGCTAGGATTACTGGCGTGAGCCACCATGCCTGCCTCTGTTTTTATTTTAATGATAATGCCATTTCTGTTTTGGTCCTCTGTTCCTCAAACTTTGCATTGTAACCCATTAGTAAGTGGCAACTGGTGTTTTCCTAAAATAAAATCAAGTAGAACATAGAGTTCAATAAACAAGTGAAAGTGTTTTGTGAAACTTGTTTCCACACATGAGTTCGTGTACTGGGTTATACACTGGGTTACAACATAAAATCAACTTGTACAACATGGTTTTATAAAAGTTTGAAAACGGTATGGCTAGTATATTGTTTCCTTTTCCAATGTTCTAAGCTTTTGTAAAGGTAATAAATGATGATGATGCAGGGGAGCAGAATGGGACACTCAGAGTGGAACTGGATGTAATTCTGGACCCCAGGTTACCCAAATATTTAGTAGCTGTTCAGTCTTGGACAAGTTACTTGGTCTTCTATGAACCTCCATTTCCCCATTTGTAAAATTACATGTACCTTATAGGACTGTGAAGATTACAAACAATATTTGTAAAGCACTTAACATATACAAAGGTGCTCAAAAAATGCTAGTTGCTGGCTTTTAAAGATCCAATTTTAAATATAGCAATACAGTATTCAAAACCTAGCGGAATGATTGTATAAAACTATAGTTACCACATATTTCATCTGTTATATAAATTCAGATTTAAAATACATTGATTTTATTCAAATTCCATGCTGATCTGACACCTGGCCCCTGACTACCTCTCCCCCTTTCTTACTTCGCGCCATGCTCAATGGCTTCTCTTCGATTCTGTAACATTCCAAACAACCAGCTTCTGGGCTTATGCACTTGATGTGTTCAATGCCTAGAATGGTCCTCCAGATACCCGGACGGTTTGTTTTTTCTCTTCTTTCACATCTTTGCTTAAATGTCTGAGAAGCCTTTCTGATTACCCTTTTAAAAACAAATCCTTCCATCACTCTACACTGCCTTTCCCTACATTTTCTTCAGAGCATGGGTGTATACTCATGTAATTATGTTTTGTCTGTCTCCTCATTAGAATGTTCTGCTCCCTGCCGATTCCCCAAATCTAGAGTAAAGCCTAGTATAGTACGGCCACTCAGTAAAAATTTGTTGGATTTTTCCAGAGGTAGAATTTTTAATTATATTTAGTCAAATTGCATAATTGAACTGAAAACATGATGTGAACTTTTATGACTGAAAACTAATAAACTCTGAGTGTCAGGAAGAACAGTGGCAGCAGAAAGTCACAATCATACCAACTCAACACATAACTGACACATCATACCTTTTGCTTCCTTCATTGTCTGAGATACAATTCTTCGGAGTGTCACATCAGCTGTATGAAGAATGTTTGTTGAACAAATAATTCTGTCTGTGTCCTATGTAATACAGACATTGTTACTTAGAAGTCGCATAATTTTATAAAATAAATGGCTAAAGCATAGGTCACATGTATTTGAAGGGACTAAAAGAAAAGTTTAAGTGGCTTTTCTGTTTGTTATTCTTCCCTACAATCTGAGAGTCCAAACAAATCAGATCCAGTGGTAAACTGGGTTCCAGCTAGGCGTTGATATGCTGGTGAATGTCTAACAAATGACTTTTCTGGAAAAAAAACCCAGACCTATCTGTAATGTTTGCCAATTTCTGTAGTGAAAACAATCCTACCAACAAAATATCAACAGGTTCCAAAACTTCTGAAATGTGAACAATCGGCTCTGGCCAGCCGGCATCAGCTGCAAGCAGCGAGTGCTGGTGAGAGGCCAAGCCAGTGGCAACACGTCACGTTTCACTCACAGTTTATATTCCGCTCTAAAGATCTTCCTACAAAGAGTTGTTCCTTCTTATTTACATTAAATCTAAACTAGAAGCTTTACCTTTTGTTCCATATTGTCCTCAGCATATTTTACTGGATTTTCCAAAGCAGTGAGCAATAAATCAGTCACCTCCAGGCTACAGAGAAAATGGGACAAAATACAATAAATCCTAATACTGAACATCTGACTTTTAAAGAACTTGTATTTATGAATACTAAACTGAATTACAGAGGAATGAAACGGCTATAACCCAAGATCCTTAGCAAAAGGAAAAAAACTAAATGATTTACAAGCTAGCTTCCACATAGAAAATCCAACTGTAGTAGCCCAAAACTAATGATAAGTCAAGACCCCTCATTAAATATACCAATTTCCTAAGCCTCATGTCACACAGTTTTGAAAAGTCATTCCCCCTTCCCCTCTTAAGGCTGAACTGGGGCCACCAGAGCTCGATTTTATTCCCTAAGATGTTTGGTCTTTACTTTCTGGATCCCGCTCATTTACTGGATAGGGATGAGCAAAGTTCCTCACTGAGCAAGGGTCCATGAAGGTTTGAGGTAGAATCCATTCATTAATTCAACAAATATTTACTGAGCATCTTATATGAAAAATACGGTGCAACTAACTACATGCTGAGCTGGGGGTGTAGCAAGATCCTTGCCTTTGCCAAAGTTGATAATGTAACAGAGACAGATAAACAGTAAAATAAAGCAAAAAGAATTTCAGACGGTGGTAAGTAGATAAGTGAGAGAAGATAGTGTGACAATGATAGGAGTGACAGGGTGGCCCAACTAACATTCTTTGCTTTAGTTAGGATGGTCAGTGAAGACAGTCAAATACAAACATGTGAGAAGGGCAGAGGGGGCAGCAAGTGCAAGGACCTCTGGGCAAGAACAAGCTCCTGGTGTTCGTGCAATAGAGAAGGTTGAAAAGATGTGAGGAGGGAGAGTGGTACAGTATGATGTGGGAGAGTTAATCTGAGTTAGAACACGTAAATTAGGGTAAGGAGTTTGAGTTTTACTCAGATTACAGGAGTAGCACTAAAAAGTTTCAAGGGCCGGGTGTGGTGGCTCATGCCTGTAATCCAAGCACTTTGGAGGCCAAGACAGGTGGATCACCTGAGGTCGGGAGTTCAAGACCAGCCTGACCAACACAGTGAAACCCAGTCTTTAAAAAAATAAATAAATAAATAAAGGCCGGGCACAGTGGCTCACGCCTACAATCCCAGCACTTTGGGAGGCCGAGGCAGGTGGATCACAAGGTCAAGAGATCGAGACCATCCTGGTTAACAGAGTGAAACTCCATCTCTACTAAAAATAGAAAAATTAGCTGGGCATGGTGGTGCATGCCTGTAATCCCAGCTACTCGGGAGGCTGATGCAGGAGAATTGCTTGAACCCAGGAGGCGGAGGTTTCGGTGAGCTGAGATCGCGCCATTGCACTCCAGCCTGGGTAACGAGCGAAACTCCTCAAAAAAAAAAAAAGTTTTAAGCAAGTGAGCTCATCAAATTAAAGCTCAACCTCAAGATGATCTTCCTCACACTGAAAAGAGCTGAGGTTCTGGAGTGAGTGAGATCCCACTGGGTCGAAATCTTGGCTCTGCCACTTCCTATCTGGGTATATTACTTTACTTATCTGGGTCTCAGTCATGGCATCTATAAAATGGGGATAACAGTTCCTCCCCTTAAAGTGTGGTTGTGAGGACTGAATGAGACCATACATATAAAGTGTTCAGAGCCGGGAGAGAAATTTGAGTTTTACTGACTATTTAGCCAGTGATCACTAGCTAGTTTTCACATCCATGCCCTTTTCTTCTATTTAGGCTGTTTTTTTAGAGAGAGGGTTTCACTGTCACCCAGGCTGAAGCGCAGTGGCATTATCATAGCTCACTGCAACCTCAAACTCTTGGGTTCAAGTGATCCTCCCCTCTTGGCCTCCCAAGTGCTGGGATCACAGGTGTTAGCCACTGTACCCAGCTTGTTTACAGTCTTAAAAGGGGTCAAGCATGGCAAATATATTTTTAAGGGAACTATAACCTTAAGATTCCTAAAAAGAATTTCAAAAGGAATTATAGACACTCTTCCCAATGTAACCCAAAATTTAAGAAAATATTAGTTGGGGTGGTAGCTCATGCTTGTAATCCCAGCAATTTGGGAGGCCAAGTTGGCAGAATTGCTTGAGGTCAGGAGTTTGAGACCAGCCTGGGCAACATAGTGAGACCCTGTTACTATAAGAAATTTAAAAATTAGCTGGGCTTGGCAGTGTGGGCCTGTCATTCCAGTTACTTAGGAGATGGAGACAGGAAAATTGCTTGAGCCCAGGAGGTTGAGGCTGCAATGAGCTGATATTAATCCCCTGTGGACAATATGCAGGAACTAAAGAAATGTGGGCAATATACCTCTAGAACTGCACAGTCCAGTACAATAGCCACTATAACCATGAGACTATTTGGGTTTAAATTAATAAGTTAAACAAAAATTCAGGTTATCAGTTACACTAGCTACTTTTAAGGGCTCAATAGTCAAAATGTGGCTGGCAGCTACCATATTAGTGCAAATATAGAACATTTCCATTGCCAGTAAAATTTCTGCTAGAAATATGCTGCTCTACAACTCTCAAGACATACATAATGAATAAAATGCATTAACAGCATAGCCTACAAGCCTCACATATATAAAAGCAATGTAACTATAGTGAGCTCTAAGGCAAATTAGGACCCAGTACCAGTTCTGCTCTTGAACAGCTTTCTTTCTATAAGAAAACTACCAGAGCACCTATTTAGACTATTTTAAAAGAGAATCAAAGATGTGTTCCTTTAATTCCCTGCTCCAACCACTGGGAGACAGTATCATCCTAACAGTTAAGAGCAGACATTTGTAAATAAACTTGGGTTCGAATCTCAGCTCTCATTTACAAGCTCAGTGGACAAACTAAATTTTCCCATTTCACTTTTGGCTTCCAGACAAAGGGGGAAATAATCTCTCTCCAATGCCTGTGTGAGGACGAACTAAGCCAATACAGATAAAGCACTGACCCTAGTACCTGGCACAGGGCAGCATCCAGGGAGGGATGACTTTGAGTGGAATACCTGGCCCCTGAAGCACACGCTGGACTCTGCAGTGTGAGGCTGTTGTGTTCCCAAGCATTTTTTTCAGGGTTGGGCTTTTCTAGCTTTCTTCCCATCAGGTGTATGGTCTCAGCAGGCAGCGCCCGTGGCCTTTGGCCATTCCTCTGTAAACAGGTCTCAAGAGGACAATCTAAAAAGAGCTGGCAAAAGCCCAACGAATCTGAAAACAGTTTAAAATGACAGAATTACTTGTATATTTTCCAAAATATGAAATAAACATGTAGCAAATGATGACAATTATAGTAGGAAAAACTCCATTTGCAATACTGAACATGTAGCTTTTAAAATTAAGTACATCTACATAACCTCCTATCAAGTTAAATTCTCATTAAAGACAGTAGTGTTTTTGATATGTGAATAAGTATCTGTGTGTAGGAAAAAATACGTTTTAATTACATTTCCGAGCCAGTTGGTAGACTTCATATCTCATACTTTGATAATAAAAATTGTCATCCAAAACCAAAAACAAAGGTCTAGAAACAGCAGTTTTTGTTAAGAGGTAGCAAGACCGGGCCTCAAATGCTGCAGAAAATATCAGATCTTGATCCTTTAAGCAGGTTGTAAAATCTTCCCACATGGCTTCAGTCCTGTCGGGTGGGGCGGACATCTGACACCCATTGATCACAGCCATCAAGAAGTATTCCAGGTACTTCAACAGTTCCTGTCGAAGCAATTTCCATTGGGATGGCTACAAGAGACCAAAGAATTGCAATTCTTATTAGGCCACTAGGGTGGTTGCTCATCTGGCCTCACTGCCACCCTGCCCCATATGAAAATTTCAGCTCACAATATGGAACCATTTGTAGTTCTCCAACACACCTGGTTTCTCATGCCTCCATATATATACCAATCCTTCTGCCTGGAAAACTAATGATACTAGTGCTGTGTAAATCTTTCTCAGACTCGACCATGCAGAAGGCAGCTCAGCCTCTCCCTTGCCCATTGTGAAACCCCATTCTGTACATATATCTCCACTCTAGCAGTGCTCACACAGTTTAAGCATTTGTACACTTCTCTCTCTGCTAGATCACTGTCCATTGTATACTGAGCCGCCAGCAGAGGGTCTGGCACCTAACAGGTGCTCCAGAAATGTATAGTCAATGGATGAATGAATGAATGACCGAATGAGTGAAATAAATGAAAGAATTTACCATCCAGGAGAATAATGAAGTCAAAAGCAACAACCTGCCAAAATAATCTGGCTAAGATATAACGATGCAGGTTTTCCATTGAAATGAGAAAAGTAGTAGACAGCAAAAAGATCAGGTGAAAAGTCCCTGGGTGCACGGTGGCTCTTGCCTGTAATCCCAGCACTTTGGGAGACCAAGGCGGGCTGATCATGAGTTCAAGAGATCAAGACCACTCTGGCCAACATGGTGAAACCCCATTTCTACTAAAAATACAAAAATTAGCCGGCTGTCATGGGGTGTGCCTCTAGTCCCAGCTGCTTGGGAGGCTGAGGTAGGAGAATCACTTGAACCTGAAAGGCGGAGGTTGCAGTAAGCGGAGATTGTGCCACTGCACTCCAGACTGGTGACAGAGCAAGACTTCACTGCAAAACAAACAAACAAGCAAAAATCAAGTCCATGGGTCCAGAAGACCTCATGCTAACAAATAAGTTGGTATGCGATGGGGAAAGATGGAGGAAACGGACTGAGGGGAATAAGCAGCTGGAGAATACAAGCAATCTTGTGTTGGTCAAAGACTGTGGTCCTGACATAGTTAAGAAACCTAAGCTGGAGGGAAAACAGGAGGACAGGAGAGTGAGAATGCTCACTTGTCTGCCCATGCCTTACCACCTCACTGAGATTACACTACATACAACAAACACATCAGCTAAACCCACTAAATTGGAAACATATATCACTTCCTAAGAGGTGAGCAGATGAGTCCCATGGTCTTTGTAGGAAAACAGTGGAAAAAACACATAATACAAGTGAAGGGAAAGTCAGCAAATACAACAATGCCTATCGACAAGCTTCAGTTTTCTCCCAAGTGGTGAAAATACCATTATCCAAGTCAATCCTGTGCTGTCTTGACACTGTACTTACTTCACAATTAACCAGGAATGAGAAAGTAGATACACTTTGCTGGAGGGCCCATGTACCAAATGTATTTTTGTATATATACTTAGAGTGTGGAGTCAGATAACTTTTGCATTTGATTTGTCAAGTCATCTACATCAGGCATTAAACAAAAATAAAAATGTTTAAATCTCAGAATATTTCAAAGAATATTTAGAGTGAGCATGAGATGAAAGACACCAATGTATCTACTCTTCCCCGAGCAGTCTGTTTCCACATGCTTCTCCAAGAGGATGCATCTCACCGTGCTGAGTGTGAGAAGAGGAGGGCTTAAAGAGATGTACTTGGGGGCCGGGCGCGGTGGCTCAAGCCTGTAATCCCAGCACTTTGGGAGGCCGAGGCGGGTGGATCACGAGGTCAACACATCGAGACCATCCTGGTCAACATGGTGAAACCCCATCTCCATTAAAAATACAAAAAATTAGCTGGGCACGGTGGCGCGTGCCTGTAATCCCAGCTACTCAGGAGGCTGAGGCAGGAGAATTGCCTGAACCCAGAAGGCGGAGGAACGGTGAGCCGAGATCGCGCCATTGCACTCCAGCTTGGGTAACAAGAGCGAAACTCCGTCTCAAAAAAAAAAAAAAAGAGAGATGTACTTGGAACATACAAGTTGGTCCGTAAATACAAGCCCATTATTTCCTCTGGTGGTCAACTAAGAAACAGCCATCTTTTCCAAAGCTGGCAGAGTTACTCTGAGTTGAACAAAGGTTGAGCCTCATAGGTCTGATAATGTGTTTGTACAGCCTCCTTCTATCGTTCTGAGGGATCCCAGCAATTTTGTTACTTACAATCTGTGTTCTTTTTCTTAAAGAGGGTTCCTCGAATTATAAAACTTGAATTCACTCATGGCTAGATGTTAAAGTTTTAGAGATTACTTCCCTCTCCCAAGGAGAAACTTCCCCAGGGATTTTCAAGAGTGCATTTGACTACAGAGGCTGTCCACCTTGCACGCTGACTTGAGAACCTGAGCCTGTCTTAAGACTCAACTGTACAAAATATTCAATATATATACATGCATCAAATATACAGATAAGCCTCTACAATGCATCATTCTAACACAGCTGGCTTTGTAACTACTTTATGACACACTTCTACAGCCAACTCATTCACCCTCTGCAGTAACTATGTTAACCCAGCTCCACTTTTCTCGAACTTCACCGCCGACATCAAGCACTGTCTAGTGCGCAGTGGGGGGTTCATGGCAAATAATTACCCAGGACTCACAGACTAGAGGGGCCCCGCCCTGCCCCTCCCCTCCATGCTGACCGCCGGTAGAGCGCTCGCCCCGGCGAGAAACGCGTCTGGCATGACGTCATCATACGCGACGACGCCGACGGCCCAGCCCTGCTCCTGCCGTAGCCTGTGGGCGAGGGCGCGCGCGAAAGTCGATTTTCCTGCCCCGGGGAGGCCACAGAGGACGCAGAGACCTCGTTTCCGCGGCCCTTCGCTGCCGGTTCCTCTGTTGTTCTCGGCGGTCTTCATGCTGCCCGGCAGACGGGAGGAGCCTGCGAGCGTTGTCTCCGAGCCACCGTCTCCCCAGCGCGCACGCGCAGCGTCTCCGCCGCCTGCCGGCGCAGTGGAGGAACAGGCGCGGTTGAGTTTCCGTGCGGCCCCCGCGGCACCAGCCACACTGACTCCCAGTTGCTGTTGAGGACCGGAAGCTGAGGAGGCCGAGGCGCTGCATTCCTAGCTCCTGGACATTCCCAAAGAATCCCAGCGTTAGGATTAGTCTTCAAATAGAATTACCCTCTCTGCCGAAAGTTGCCGGTCAGCAGGATTCGCGCCTCAGTTTTATGACGATGAGGTCGTTCTGCTCAGGAAAATCCCAAAAGAGACGTTGAGCCTTTCCCTCCAGCAATCTTTAGAAAATAAGTTACTGGCAATCAAAGACTAGGAGGCGAAGCTGACAGTCCGACCACCGCGCTCCTTTGCAGTTCCCAGATGGGAACAATGCAAGGGCAAAGTAAACATTTGTTATTGTGCCCTCACGCCACCAGTGGGCAGCACGCATGAAAAAATATGGTCAGGAAAGGCACGTCCTTAGACCTCAGTTCCAGTGCCCGCAGACACGGAACAATAGGTGTTTGTGTCAAAAGTAATAGCTATGGAGAGGTATGAAATAATTTTTTCTTTTGTTTGGGGGTGTGTGGTAGAATATTGAATTCAGATTCTAGTTTTAACCTTATATTTTAGCGGTAAAGAGTATGTTCAAAATGTGAACACGTGAGGACAGAATCAGTGTATACTGGGTCAAAATCTGACCAATAACCGCCTGCTAAAGCTGATAGAATTTGTGATTACAAAGCACATACAAATCTCATTTTCCTTTTGTACTGCAAGTGAAGAGCAGTGAATTAAACTCACTCTTCATGACATTTTGTTATTGGTCCAATATAAGGTCCCTCTCCCTAATTTGCCCCTCCCGCACTTTTTTAAGAGACAGGATTTTGCTTTGTCACCCAGGCTGGAGTGCAACATAGCTCACTGTAACCTCGAATTTCTAGGCTCAAGCTATTCTCCTACCTCAGCCTCCTGAGTAGCTGGAACTATAGGCATCAGCCCCTGAGCCTGGTTCCACAGTCTTTTGTCTCCCATCTTCCACACCCACACCCTTTTAACCCCTGCAGGCAACCATTTTTTCTTCTTCTTATAGTTATTTTTGCTTTGGTTATGTCTTTTTTTTTAAATAGGCTTTATTTTTTAGTGCAGTTTTAGGTTCACACAAAACTGAGCAGAAAGTAGAGTTCTCATAAACTCCCTCCCCTCCTCATTCATAACCTCCCCCACAATCAACATCCTTCACCAGTGATACATTTGTTATAATCAGTAATCAATAAACCTACACTGACACATTATCACCTAAAGGCCATAGTTTACTATTGGTAGTGGGGTTTACTCTTGGAGTACATTCTGTAGGTTTTGGCTGTGTATAATGACAAGTATCCATCAGTACGAAATAGTCTCACAGCCCTAAACAATGTGCTCCGCCTGTTCATCCTCCCTCCTCTAACCCCTGGCACTATAGACTTTGTGTCTGTGTCTCTCGTTTTGCTTTGTCCAGAATAATATACAATTATATAATTGTAATTACGCAGCCTTTTTAATTTGCTTCTTTCACTTAGTAATATGCATTTAAGGCTCCTCTATGGCTTTTTATGGCCTGATGGTGCATTTCCTTTTAGCCATGAATAATATTCCAGTGTCTGGAGGTGCCACAGTTTAGTTTTTCATTCACCTACTGAAGGATATCTTGGTTGCTTCCAATATTTGGCAGTTATGAACAAAGCTGCTATAAACGTCCATGTGCAGGTTTTTGTGTGGACGTGTTTTCAACTCATTTGGGTAAATATACCAAGGAGTGTGATAGCTATATCACACAATAAGAGTGTTTAGTTTTGTAAGAAACTGCCAAACTGTCTTCCAAAGTAGCTGCACCATTTTGCATTCCCAGCAGCAATGAATGAGACTTTGTACTGCCCAACATTCTCCCTTCTATTTGGTGTTGTCAATGTTTTGGATTCTTTGTCATTCTAATAAGTGTGTAGTGGTATGTCATTGTTCTTTTAGTTTGCATTTCCTTACTGACATATGATGTTAAGCATCTTTTTTCATTTTTTCTTTTTCATGTGAGAATCTTGTTCTGTCACTCAGGCTGGAGACAGATCATGGTTCAATGCGGCCTCAGCCTCCCAGGCTCAAGCAATCCTTCTGCTTCAGATCCCTGAGCAGCTGGGGCTACTTCTTCTTTTTGTAGAGATAAGGTCTCCCTCTGTTGCACAGGCTGGTCTTGAAATCCTGGGCTCAAACAAACCTCATGCCTCAGCCTTCCAAAGTGCTAGGATTACAGGTGTGAGCCACCATGCACAGCCGAACATCTTTTCTTATGCTTAATTGCCATCTGTACATCTTCCTTGGTGAGGTACCATTCGGATCTTTTTGCCTATTTACCACTTTTGAAATGGGATCTTGCTGTATTGCCCAGGCTGGTTTCAAACTCCTGGCCTTGAGCAATCCCCAACCTGAGTAGCTGGGATGACAAACATGTACCACTATGCCTACCTTCTTTGTGCCCATAATATGGGTTGTTTTCTTATTGTTGAGTTTTAGTGTTGTTTGTATATTTTGGATAACAGTCCTTTACAAGATCCCTGTGGCAAACACTTGCTCCCAGTCTGAGGTTTATCTTTTCATTCTTGTCACAGTGTCTTTTGGAAAGCAGAAGTTTTTAATTTCAATGAAGCTCAGTTTACCAATTACTTCTTTCATGCATCATACCTTTGGTGTTTTATCAAAAAAAATCACCAAGCCCAGTCTTCTAGATTCTCTATTATCCTCTAGTCCTATAGTTTTGTTTTAAATTTTGTTCTATGATCCATTTTGAGTTAACTTTTCTGAAGGAGGTAAAGTCAGTGTGTAAATTTGATTTTTTTCTGATGTAGATATCAAAAGTTGAGAAGACTATTTTTTTGTCCATTGCATTGCCTTTGCTCCTTTGTCAAAGATCAGTTGGCTATATTTATGTGGGTCTGTTTGTGGGTTCTCTGTTCTGTTCATTGATCCATTTGTCTATTCTTTTGCCAATATCGCACTGTCTTGATTACTATAGCCTTATTTATTTTATTTATTTATTTTTTTTGAGACGGAGTTTCGCTCTTGATACCCAGACTGGAGTGCAATGGTGCGATCTCGGCTCACCACAACCTCTGCCTCCTGGGTTCAAGCAATTCTCCTGCCTCAGCCTCCCGAGTAGCTGGGACTACAGGCATGCACCACCATGCCCAGCTAATTTTTTGTAGAGACGGGGTTTCACCATGTTGACCAGGATGGTCTCGATCTGTTGACCTCGTGATCCACCCGCCTCGGCCTCCCAAAGTGCTGGGATTATAGGCATGAGCCACCGCGCCTGGCTGATCACTATAGCTTTATAATAAATCTTGCAGTCAGTACTGTCAGTCTTCTAGTTTTGCTCCTTCTCCTTTAATATTGTGTTGGCTAGCCTAGGTCCTTTGCCTCACCGCATAAACTTTAGAATCACTTTGTTGATATCCACAAAAGGGCTTGCTGGGATTGATTGAGACTGTGTTGAATCTGTACATCAAGTTGGGAAGAACTGACATCTTGACAATAGTATTTTTATTCATGAACATGAAATATCTTTTATTATTTCTTTCATCAGAGTTTTGTAGTTTTCCTCATACAGATCTCATGGATATTAAAAAATTTTATACCTAATAAAAAGAAGTTTTAAATTTACGTATTTCATTTTGGGGGGTGTTCATGTAATGGTATTCTGCTTCCAATTTCAAATTTCACTAGTTCATTGCTGGTATTAAGTGGTTCATTTTTATTTCTTGACCTTGTATCCTGCAACTTTGCAATAATCATGTATTAGTTCCAATTTTTTATTGTGGATTTTATTTCTGCACAGATAATCATGTCATCTGCAGACAAGGTTTTATTCCTTCCTGCCCAGTATGTATACCTTTTGTCTTGTTTAGCTAGGACTTCCAGTATGATGTGGAAAAAGTGGGGAGAGAGCACATTCTTGCCTTGTTACTGATCTTAGTGGAAAAACCTCTAGTTTGTCACCATTAAGTATAATGTAAGCCGTAGGTGTTTTGTAGACAGTTATCAGGTTGAGGAAGCTCTCCTCTATTCCCAGTTTCCTGAGGGTTTTTATCATGAATGTCTGTGGGATTTTGTCAAATGCTATTTTTTTTGGCATCGATTGATATCATTATGTGATTTAATTTTTTAATGTTTTGATAAGATGGATTACATTAATTGATTTTCAAATATTGGACCAGCTTTTAATGCTTGGAGTAAAACCCACTTGGTTGTTGTATAAAATTGGATACATTTTAAAATTCAATTTGCTAATATTTTATTGAGGATTTTTACATCTAGATAGATACAAAAGAGATATTTATAGGTCCAAGAGAAGTATTGGTTTAGTGTTCTTTCTTGTAATGTCTTTGACATCTGGGCAATTCTGGCCTCATAGAACAAGTTAGAAGGTATTCCTTTTGCATCTATCATCTGAAAGAGATATAGAGAATTGGTATAATTTCCTCAAATGTTTTGTAGAATTTGCCAGGTAATCCATCTGACTTCAATTATCTTTACAATAATCTATTTTGGGAAAACAATTTTTAGTTCTCTATAAAAACATAATGCTTTGTATTTCAGAATTCCAAAATGAACCACTATAACCTCAAAGTTAGGTGTCTCCTATATAAAAAGACATGCTTCTCAAGAATAGGTTCAAATATAAGCATGTGACATTGACATATAGTCATAATTAGAGTTTGCTCTTGAATTTGTAAAACTTTCCTTACAGACCTCAATCTCACCTGAGTCTCAGAAAGGACAATAGTGTTATTACATATTTACTGGATATATGGTTCTCTTAAATTAGCAAGGTGCAGCCAGGCATGGTGGCTCATGTCTGTAATCCCAGCACTTTGGGAGGCCGAGGTGTGGGGATCACTTGAAGCTAGGAGCTCCAGACCAGCCTGGGCAACAAAGCAAGCCCCCACCTCTACAAAAATCATTAGCAACATGACATCACCGCTTTACTACTGGAAATTGATACAAGGTTTAGGTGGTTGGATTTGGGTCCAACAATGAACCCATAGCAATTGGGGATGTGAATTTAGGTCCCATTTTGCATACTCCTTCTCTTAGCCCCAGGGTTGCCCACTTCACCCTACAGAAGAGGTGCTACTCTTGGCTGCATTTCAAGCTCCTTTCTAGCTTGGGACACCCCAGAAATCATTCTTCTGCAATGCATATCCTGTGTGGCTGCCTTCTGTGGCCTACTAACTTGTCCCTGCATGCAGTGGGGTCAAGGCTGGGTGTTCTGCATAGTTTAGAATGAGAAAATAGTTATGTAGGAAAAATTCTTCTGAGTCACATAGAAATGGTCATCCCCATT